TATTGATATCTACGGTTTTAAATCACTCGCCTTATTATAATTTATTCGAAATCTCGATAGCTACGTCAGAAAGTTGTTTATTTTAAAGCTTAAGGTTGTCCAGTTTATTGTTATTTGTGTGCACGTAAATAAAACTGAAAATCATTGTCACCTCTTCAATCAGTAAAGATCATGCTCACTTTTTAACAATAACTTTATTTTCACGGCCTATCTTCCTGATTTTACGGTCTCGGATATCATTTTAATGGCGTTTTTTTTGTCCTGTGTCTGTTATTGATTGGTAAATAAAATGACAAAATTTTACGTAAGTGAAAGGAAAAATTGACCTTCCACCGTTTGGCTCGCCTACTCTAGAACAGCTGTTGTTTTAACATGATTTAAAAAGAATTTAGTAACCGTATCGAGGGAGGTGATGTCATTTCTTGTTCCGTAATAACAGAAAATATATATCGCCTATAATATGTTGAAGAAAACACGATTTAAGATATCGAGAAGATGATTTTCTGTTACCTTGTCCATTATTACTATATGTTTTCGTATAATTAGTACCGAGCATTTTGACAATTTTACTCACTGATTACGCTCAAGTAAAATGTCTCAATTATAATAAAATACCTCCCACTACATCTATAATAAGCATTTGTCTGTTATTTTCATTGCAAGGTCATCTCTTGCCTAGATAAATTCAAAATTAAAAGATGAGCTTGGTTATCTTTGTAGATAATTGTATCAAATGCACTGATTTTAATAACTATGGGCCAGTATCTTGACTTTTGATTAAGGTTGGATTAACTAAATGTATGTAAATTGGTAGATGTATTCACATTCCGTCCGATCAGTTTTTTTTTGTAAAAGTTAAAAGTCCTTTTTGCGTTTATTATATACGATATGTTCGCTAATTTTTTTTAAATATAGTTACGTTTGTATCTAGAACGCGAAATAGTACTTTTGCCATCTTCAGCAGAGCCTATTGAAGTTTCCAATAATACAATGTGCGCAGTGCACTTAAACAATTACATCAGCAGCTTCATTGAACACCCAGAACTAAAAGCTACGATAACTGACAGCATTGTATCTGGCGTAAATTTAACTCACTGCAATATTGGCACTTTCAATTTACATGTAGTGCAAAATAAATTGTAATAGTTCTGTTTATAATAGTTACTGTTTTGTATTGTATATTACTTAAAATGCATATTGTTTAATTAATAAAATCATAAGTTTAGAAAAAATGACAAATTATTTTAACATTTGTTTTATGTTCTAGAACGAAAAAGACTTTGGCGTTCTAGAACATAAAAGTATTTTGCAGCAATGTGATAAAAACACTCACTTTGTCAACTGAAATTTAACGAAAATGTGGAATTTGATGAGTTTTCGAAAAAAACAATTTTATGAGTTTCAGATTCCTTATTGTGCACTTTTCCAATAATACCTTTGACTATTTCTACAATTCGACTCAAATAACTTGTTTCTTGAGTTTTTTTAACTACCTTCAATGTCAGATTAAATGACTTCATTTTAAATTACATTGGACAAATCCTAATTGTTTTATATGTCCACAATTAAAATAAGGATACTGAAAACTTACTCATATTAACAGTGAAAATTTAACGCATTTGGACGTGATAGAAATTGAAATATTCTTGAGTAAGATTTGAAATTTCAGTATTTTTTTACCGTTTTCTGTGTACTGCTTGTGTACTGTGTTCTGCTTTATATATTCTTTTGATTTGTTTTAGATATGTTTCCGATACGAAGTATTTAATCAAATTCGTTGATTTTATCTTTTTTACAATTCATTTACTACCACGCTTTGAGAAAGACTGGAATTTTTAATATTTCAAACAGGATTGTATATCTTTTCTTCCAGTGTCTTGTTAGTTTCTGTCATCCTTTGTAATCTTGCTCCGGCCTACTCACTATTTTATCTTCTATAATTAATTTTCCATGTTTATCTCTTACGTTTATCATATTATTATCCAACACGTGTACTGTTTTGCTCCTTATTCACTTCTTTCATGTTTCTTCTGATAAACAACAAACACCTTTGTATATTGGAGAAAAGATTAAAAACGGTTTTGTTAATTTTATGACACACATTTTTGGAAATTAGGTAGAATTTTGAAATACAGATACAATTATGATCAAAATTTATTTAATTAATTATATTACTAAATTCTTAACATCTTTAAGCTGTTCTTTTTGTTTTAAATGCTATTTAAAAAGGTTTTTTCACCATTATATCATTGTGTAAATATTTTGTTGGCCATGAAACGACTATTGTCTCAAATATGCGCAATTTTGTTTAAATAGCAGCAATTAAATTTATTCCCATAGGACAATCAAGTAGTCAAATTATGACTGGTGCATTTTTTTTAAGAACTAACATTTAACTAGGAAAACGTCATACGTCTTAATCTAAAAATAAACGGTGACCGAGCGCTTCAAAGAACATCAAGGCGAATTAACGCGGTCCCGTCCGACGTTTGCAACACCTCCTTGACGCAATCACTTTCTCTGCATACGAGCGGGGGCGAGTCCTTAAGCAGACATATGGTACGAATTGTGGCCCCATTACCACCCTGAAAGCACTCCAATTGTTCTCAGCTTCAACAGGGTCATTCAGATTCTATTCATGCAACTATCTCTGTTTTTATTCGAGTGCCATCCGAAATTTTCCTTTATTTTTCTTAGCGTTGGCGTGTGTTAATTTTTGTTAGATGCGTGTAAAGTAGTTCCGCGTGGGTATAAAAAGATTTACCGTTGTTTGTTTTTCTTAATAGGAAACATATGTTCGCAGAGATGAAAGTCTGTATCCAATATAGTAGTCTTGTTATGAAATATCAAATACGTAACGATCATCCGGTAACGAGAGGTATTATGTTTTAATATCGTCATAGCAGTAACCTTTGTTAACAGCTAGGATTTAAATATTTATGAGCAAATCGAAGGTCTCTTTGCCCACATAGACGTGCTCTTGCTAAACAGATTGGCACGAATTTTTTTGTTTGCCTTTGTCTCTTTTTTCAATACAGGAATGTTATTTGAACGTCAAAAACTGATTTGTTTATTTTGTTATACGTAATTTACAGTGCAAGAAGTTTTCCGATGTATAAGTTATATTAAACGCGTTTACAGTAATCTTTTTCATATTTTTCAATTAAATTTAACACAACTTGCACCGGACCTAGTTATTCTGCTATTATATGGATTTGCATGATAATATTTTTTACCTTTTATATATTTGCAGCTTTAAAATTTATTTTTTGAATTGAATTGTTGAATTATTAAGAGTTTTTGGAAAACAAGTGAAAGAATGTGGGTATTGCGATGCGACAAACTTAGATTATTTACAATTTACTAAACTACTTCTACAAATAAGTTAATGACATTTATAATAATTGCTGAAACAAAATTTTTAATTTTTTTCTGAATTTCCTCAAATTGCCATGTTATTGAACAAACAATTTTTTTTTGACGCTCTGTATCTCAAGAACCAAGCCATGTTTATATGAATTTTTTATCTTAAAATTAGTTAAAGAATTTCCTTTTAAAGTTTGTACAGGTACTTAATAACCACCCTGTATATTAAATTGTCGTTGGTAGGTACCAACTAAGTAGTTCTTTTTTATAAATTTCAGAAAAGGAACTGTTTTTTTGTTTTTCTCTTCATTGTAAGATTCGATACACCTTTTAATTTTTTTACTTGTTCTCTCGCTCGTACAACGTTTCTCCATTAACATCAAAAGCGCTTCTTTTGTGGCATTCCCATTACAACAGATAATACGAGTGTGTGTAAACATGTTTAATTTTCATCTTAATAACCAAATAAACACCCGAGGATTCCAAAAGACATGAAGTGAGGCTCTCGGGAACAAAGCTGTTAAAGCATCGACTCGAATCTTTATTTGAACTTCAGCTTAGGCTGTTTCAGTTCAAGTCTGCCGCCTCGATCCATCTCAATTACCAATTCCAGTTCTTTCGCGAATTAAAATCAAGTGCCACTTAAATATTAGGACCGCGAAACGGGTTTTTTGGCAGTAGCAATGAAATTTTTCCGTGTGAATTCGACAATTAAACATTTTTATGAGGTGGGAGCCCACATTTTCCCATAAGTTATAAAATGCCTTGAATTAAATGGTGTGGACTTAGAAATATGATTTTTTTTTAATTTGTCATTAAACGTGATTCATCAAACCTGTTCACTAGCTACAGGAATCGATTTGAATAAAGTATGTACAAACGGTAACAGGAATTAATAGATACAGTAAAAAAGTGGTATAGTAAGTCCAGGAAGAAAACAGACGTCTGTAATATTTAAATGACCATTATAAGCGATATCTTATGACAGTAATTATTATAATTACGAAAAGTTTCGAGAAAGTTGACACATACGGAGATAGATGTGTCTATTAAAAGGTTTCTTTAATCAATGAAAAACGCTTGAAGAAACATCGTTTTATGTTTTATTGGGCTGTTAAACTAAGAACTGGTAATGGCATTTTAGCAGTTTCTTTTATAATTACGTATACGAAGGAAAAGTTCGCTGTCGAATCGTTCATTGAAATCTCGAAGCGCGCCGTAAGAATTAGGCAATACCTTAATATACACGTTAGTAGAAACATGACATATAGTAGGATTTTGGATTGAAGGATGCCAGGATGATTTTGCTCGCATACACCCGAAGTTCTCCGGGCCCCACACTCAGAATCCAAGCAGGAGAAGTAGCAGAAGTCCGCTGATTAGCACAAAGTTCAATTTAGGTCGCCAGATTTCTCTTACGCTCAACAGTTCAAGAGTAATTGTTAGTTCTGCAGGCTAATCGACGTGTTTTCCCAACAAGACACAAACACTACACCACTAGGTCTTTCCGTTTCACAAACGTTTAGCTCAAAGCACTGTCACTGAGTTAGTCCAGCATGGGGCGGTATGAGAGCAATTCGGGTCGAGCAGGTCGGAGTTCAGGAAGGGTTAGTAAGAAGACTTCTTGGACTTACCAGTCGCCATGGCTGTATCTGCCAGGGCTATAAGTGGCCCTATCACTCCACTTTTAAAGTTAGGGCACTGCTACTCACTTCAAAGTCTTAAGATAGACTGGCTGGCTTGAGAGCATCGGCGTCTTGGGTGCTCGGCGGCCATGAGAGGGGGCCCGCGATTGGCTGGCCGGCGAATATGTGAGAACCGGCGGAGTCAGTCACTCCGTTTCTGCAACTCGCGACTCGAATTCTCTCTCTTGTTATGGTCAGCGGGCCCGGCGAGTACGTGGACCATGACTCCGGAGGTATCTCGCTGTGAGTTATGAATGGCATCTCCTGCGGGCCGAGGATTTGCTCTCGTAGGATGGATCTATAAGGGAAATTGCTGCTGTAGACTCGAAAAATTCAGCTTGTTGTAGAAGAATGCTGGAACACAAAGGCCAGGAAGTTCTGGAATTGGATTGGAATCGTAACTGTTAATCATTACTCTCAAATTCCTTAGAATGTACTAGAAGGACATTGGTAAAAATTCTGGAGTATTGGAGAAATGCAGATGACTTTCTCTCTTGGAATCATATTTGTTGACAATTACGTTCAAATTCCTTAGAAAATTTGCGTCACAAAGCTGTTAATCTTAAAAATGAATTATGGAAATACTAGAAGAATGTAACAGGAAGTTCTGTAATCGTAGAGGAATTCGGATGGTGTTTTCCTCGGTGTTTTCTATTAAAATCATGTACTTTATGCCCAAATTCCTTAAAAATTTTGCTGTTAGACAGAAATAAATGAAAATTACTAGAACAATGCTCCAAAGACAAACAAATCTGGAATTATAGAGAAATTTTATTGACTTTATTGAAATCATGTTAGTTGATCGGCCATTCCTTAAACATTTCGTGTTATAACTTTCTTGTTACACTTAAAAAAATGAAATGAGATATGGAAAATACTAAAAGGATATGACAGAACAAAAAAAAGGAAGGAGTTCTAGAATTCTTGTTCGATTCTGACGATGATGATTTTTTTGTATTGGAATTATGTTTGTTGATCAGTATGTCTAAATTCTTTAGAAAATTCTCGTCACAAACTGTAGGATTGAAAAATACTAGAGGAATGCTGTAAAACGAAGCAAGATATTCTGGAATTGTTGAGAAACTTTGATGACTTTCATTTCTAGAATCATGTGTGTTGATGATTATGTCTAATTTTCTTAAAAATTCCTCTTAAAAATTTGTTGTCAAATTGAGATCTGCAAAACAATAGAAGTCTATTGCAAAATAAAAGCTAAGAGTTCTGGAATGTCGACAAATTCTAATGACTTTCTGTATTGGTATCATGTTTATTGATCATTACGTCCAAATTCTTTAAAAAATTCGCGTTACAGATTTGTCGTTAATCTTAAGTAAGAAAATAGTAAGGATATTGTAATATAAATGTTCTGGAATTGTAAAAAAATTCTGAGACATTATTGGAATATGTTAAAAATTTCACCCACAATCCTTAATACTTCGCATTGCAAATTTCTTGTTAAACTTAACAAACATAATGTGGAAAATACTGGAAGGATCTTACAAAAAAAACAAGAAGTTCTGAAATTATGGACAATTCTGATGATTCTATGTATTAGAATTGCGTTTATTAACCATTACACCCAAATTCCTTAAAAATTTCGTTACAAATTTTGTTGATCCTAAAAACTGGAATGTGGAAAATACTAAAAGGATGCTTTAAAACGAATTAAGAAGCTCTGGGACTGTCGAGAAATCCTGGAAATTCTTTCTTTATCGGAATTATGTTAGTGATCGTTACTTCCAAATTTCTTAGAAAATTTCAATTTCTTGATCTGTTAATTGAAATCATAGTTGCACATTACACCATAAATCCTTTCTTAGAAAAAATGAGATATGGAAAACACCAGACGTATGCGGTAAAACAATGAAGAAAATATGAAAGGATAAAAATCACGATGACTTTTCCAATTAGAATTATATTATTTGTTTATCAATAGATTCCTTTCTTAGGAAATTGGCGTTAGCATTTTATTATTAGAATTTACATAATTTCTGTATAGTTTAAAAAAATTCAACAAAGTTGATTGATCAAGTCGTTCAAGACTTAAATCATCCATTTGTCTAATAAATATGACGCAGAATAAATATATAACTTTACATGTGAAATTTCTCACAGGGCAAAATTTAAGAAAAAATATTAATTTATTTGATTGTAATGTTTTAGTAATTCAAATATTTTTAGATATTTGTAAATACATATAGTACTTTTGAAATTGGTTACCCATTATTTTAAATAAAGAAACACATTATTTCCATAAAGTACCTACCTCCCTACCCATAAATTACCCTTTTTCTCCTGTTTTTTAAAATTTGTGTAAAAGATGAAAAAAAAAATCCGAAAAATTGCGACAGCATGTTATAGGAAATTTATTCCAATTTTCGAAACTGCCCACGCCGAGATATCGATGATTGAAGACAAAAGGATCCTTTTCCATTAAAAGTCCGATAATTCGATGGAAAATGGTCGTATCGAAATTTAAAAAAACAGGAAATAATCAAGCTATCTGACCCATGCAATGGCTAGCTGAAAAAATTTTTTCAAAGTCTGTGGACGTGGAAATTTTTTTGTCGCGCTATTTCTTAGAATTGCATGATAACCGAAGCTCCTAAAAAATTTCAACCGAAAGATCTAAAAACTAGAATCTTGGAGCTTGAAAATGCCTTTTTTAAATCCCGATACGAACATTTTTCACCTAAATAGTCTGTCAAAAATCAAGGGAAAATTTCGGAAATTCTTTTGACCCTTTAATTGTTTGCATTAGTGTAGATACAATTTTAAATACTATTTTGTTATTAAAAGTTCAATAAAATCATTGACAAAAATTCCTGATTTCCCAAAACAAATCGAAAACTAAGCCGTTTAATATACCTGTGGTTTTTGAATAGCGAAAATTATTTACTACCCAATAACAAATATCTGTAAAATATGCATACATATACTCATAAGTAATGCTTAAATTGTCAGATATTGCGACTAGACGAAATTGCATGTTTAGCTCGGAACCCCCTTCCCTAACGACACGTCCTATCGCGTTGAGTATTATGGCAAGGCAATTATTTCCCTACACGAAACAGTTATTGTCTTATTATCCATGAAATACGTTACATACGGCAATAAAAACATCGAAACGGTCCCCACATATTTCCATACGAATAAATAATACCGACGCAACTATTAAAATTGATGAAGCCTTAAAATCCCCATTGATTTACGACCGTATACGGGCCGCTTACGCTGATTTCTTGCTACATGCAGTGAATGTAATGCAACAATCAGGCGTTGTATTATAATTTTTTAATGGAACTTAGACATCGTTAGCAGCGTGTTCCAACCTCGCAAAAAATGTGTTGTAAACGTCCCACTCAAATCGCTAATGTACAGTAGCGATGCTTGGTGATTTTTTATATCGTGTACTTACGACGTTCGGAAGTTAAACTCGAGTATTTTTAGTTTGACAAATTATATACGCGTGATGGTATTAACGTATGTTTAGTGCTGTTGCAACCAGCATGGAAAATTGAGCAAAGATTAAGTGTTAAAATGTGTTTATTCATACCAAAGGCGATTTGATAATCATATACGTTGTTGATAGAAACATATCACAACATGTTTTCTCTAAGGCACGGCCGGGAGATTAATAAATAACACGTATTTTCTTGGTTTTATTCCAACTTTTCTACTTTTATTTGTCTTCTCATAATACATAATACCATGGATAGAGAACGCTCTCTCTGTATCCATCTTCTTCTTCTTCTTATTCTTACATTTAACGCCGGCAAAGGGCGGTCAAATTTGAATATTAGGTAATAAATGCTTACAATTCTTGATTTTGAATTTAGAAGAAAAGTAAATAATGTTGTAGCTGTAAATTAGGACGTTTTTAATAATGGTACTACCGTTGTTCATAGAAAGCATTAAAATTATTTTTTTTAATAGAACACCCTGTATAGAGAATGCAATTTTAGGGTTACACTGACAAGTTTTAAAGGGTTTGACCCATTAGCTCTAGTTGAAGGTCAGTTCAAGGTCAAATGTAGAGAACCAATTGCCAACAAAGTGAACCTACATATCGATATGTTTTTGGGACCAATGACTCCGAATCCGGTGTCCGTTTGACCCGATCAGGTCTGGGTTAAGGTCAGTTGAAGGTCAAATGTAAGAAATCAATCTCCAGCAGTGTAAATCAATGTATCTATACGTTTTTGGAGGCGCTAAATCCGAATTCTGGGTCCGTTTGACCCGATTAGCTCTGGTTGAAGGTCAGTTCAAGGTTAAATGTATAGAATCAATTGCCAACAAAGTAAATCCATATATCTGTATGTTTACGGGGTTGCGAAATTCGAATCTGGTGTCCGTTTGACCGGATTAGGTCTGCTAAACTCAAAACAATCAAGCATTTAAGCCTATTAAAATTTGAGTAACAAATAAGATTAAAGAAAGAAAGCTTTAACTCTGAGCCCGTGGCTCTCGAGCTAATTGTTTTCAGATGACAAAATTCTAGTATGAAATCAAATTTAATTAAATATGCTTTAAACCAATGCGTCAGTTAATGCTACATGTACATTAATTTACATAGAGTCCGTGTGTCGATTGAAAACATATTTTCAAGACAAGAGGTTTTTTGCCTTGATTAATCACATAGAATTACTCTATATCACTATTATGGATTCGAGACTACTGCTCACTTTTGTGGTATTGAACTATTTTATTGTCAAAAGATATACGAAATGAATTTCATTTACGTTTTCTCGATTTCAATGGTAAATATCGTTTTATCGACCAGTAGTAATCGGCTAACATTGATACCAATACCTCATTTCCTTAATATCTTTTTGAAATCTTTCTCCTTGCTCCTCACTCTAATCACCCAAATTTTCTGGGAAATTATCTAAATGAGTGTGTAATGAGATGAGGTTCATTAAGCAACCTAGGTGTTCGTTAAATGATCACATATTTGTTACTAAAATTAAGTAGCATGTTATGTTTTAAGGAACTAATAAAAATTTTTCTAGGAAATCGAGAGCTCAAACTATA